CCCTCCCATGAACAGAGACCCCTCCCCATAAATAGGGACCCCTCCCCAAAACACAGGGACCCCCCGAAACAGAGACCGCTCCCCAATAATGGAGACCCCTCCCAATAACGGAGACCCCTCCCCATAAAAAGGGACCCTCCTAAAACACAGAGACCCCTCCCCATAAAAAGGAACCCCCCCAAAACAAAGCGCCCCCTCCCCCCAGCGCCGTTCCCGTTCCGGGATGGGCGTGGTCTCTGTGCAGTGGGCGTGGCCATGGGGCGGTCCGATGTGGGCGTGTCCTCCCCGGCCCCGCCCCCGCACGTGGGTCACGTGGGCGGGCGCGCGGCGGCCGCGTGTGGAAGGGGCGTGGCCGCGGGGGGGGAGGGGGGCGGGGCCCGGCGCGTGCGCGGAGCCATCGAAGGCTCCAGAACGCTCAGAAGGATCCGGGGCGGCGGAGGCGGCGGAGCCGGTGAGGGGAGGGGGTCCCGACAGCTCCGGGGGGGCGGCGGGGACACGGGGGGACCCCGGGAAGGGCGATCCGGGAGGGGAAAGGAGCCCTGATGGGCGGCGGGGAGGGGATCTGGGGGGATCTGTGAGGGGAGAGGAGCCCTGAGGGGGCTCTGAGGGGATTTGGGGCGGTTCTGAGGGGATCTGTGAGGGGAAATCATCCTTAAGGGGGCTCTGAGGGGTTTTGGGGTGGTTCTGAGGGGATCTGTGAGGGGGAACCACCCCTGAGGGGGCTCTGAGGGGATTTGGGGTGACACTGAGGGGATCTGTGAGGGGAAAGGACCCCTGAGGGGGCTCTGAGGGGATTTGGGGCGGCTCTGAGGGGATTTAGGGCGGTTCTGAGGGGATCTGTGGGGCAAAACCCCCTTTGAGAGGGCTCTGAGGGGCTTTGGGGGGGTTCCGGAGGGATCTGTGAGGGGAAAGGACCCCTGAGGGGGCTCTGAGGGGATTTGGGGCATTTCTGAGGGGAATTGGGGCTGTTCTGAGGGGATCTGTGAGGGGGAACCACCCCTGAGGGGGCTCTGAGGGGATTTGAAGGGTTTTGGGGCGATTCTGAGGGGATTTGAGGGGGCTCTGAGGGGATTTGGGGGGGGTTCCGGAGGGATCTGTGAGGGAAAACCACCCCTGAGGGGGCTCTGAGGGGCTTTGGGGCGACCCTGAGGGGATCTGTGAGGGGGAACCCTCCTTAAGGGGGCTCAGAAGGACTTTGGGGCGATTCTGAGGGGAATTGGGGCTGTTCTGAGGGGATCCGGAAGGAGAAACCGCCCCTAAGGGGGC